GGGTACCTAAACAGTTGGGTAAGACTGGGGGAAGAAGACTTGACACAGTTTTAATAGCAACTCCCCCAGATGACCATATAAAAATGGGGAAAGGTGCCTTTACGTAGAAAACCTAGAAAATAACATCCTAATGAAGTGAATAAGCATTATTACCAGTGATGGACAAACTGAACCATGGCTTTTGATAGGATATACTGAAAAGCATCACAATAACAAAAATATTCCTAACCAGAAGATTATCCAAGTTCAGTCATAAGAGACAATCAGACAGATCTGCATTGAAAGACATAAACAGCTGCCTGGATTATTTTGTTTTTTCTTTCTTTTTTTTTTTTTTTTTTTTTTTGAGACAGGGTCTTCCCTGTAGTCCAAGCTGGCCTGGATCTCACCAAATAGATCATCCCAGTCTGTCTTTGATCTCAGAGATCCATTTACCTTTACCTCCAAGTGCTGGGATTAAAGGAATGTGCCACCACACTCAGCTCTGGATTATTTTATTATTACTACTTTATTTATTTTGTATGTATATGTGCAGGCATGCACATGCCACAGCAGACGTGTTGAAGTCCAACAATTTTTATGAGTTGATTCTCTCTTACCATGTGAGTTCTGGGATCAATTTCAGGTCACCAGGCCTGGAGGCAGGTACCTTTACGTGCTGAGCCCTCTTGATGGCCTCTGCCTGAGTTTTTGTAAGGTCAGATATGAAAAAACAGCCAGCTAGACAGAGTCAGCATTCACTTTGTAGATACCAAATAAACATCACAGCTATAAAGATATGCTTTTCAGTTGGATCCTAAATTGTAACTGAAGATACAAACTATGTGATGTTATTGATTACGTGAGTTTGAGTATAGACTACATAAGAAATAGTATTGAGTTGGTTTTTAGCTTTCTGAGTTGAGCAGCGCATGTGCATAAGAGACTGTACTTATTCTTAGAAGGTACGAAGTGAAGTCTCTTTGGGTTAGTGTACTGAGGTCTGTAACCAACTTTGAACATTTTCTTAAAGTAATAGATTTTACCTGTGTGGAGGGAAAGGGATGTGATGTGTGGGGTCACTATATCGTTAGAGGAACAGATGTATGAAGTAAATCTGGGAAAATTTTAACAGTTGGTAAATCTAGGTGAAAAGTATAAAGTTCATTCCTCTGTTGCTCTTTTCTTTGACTTTTTTTCAATAATCAAGTTGTAAAGAAAATTTCTAATTAAAGTGTGAAAACTGGGAAAAAGTTTATAATCCAGTAGAACAGTAGGCAACAGGAGAAGCATGCAGTTCACCCCTCTTCTGAACACATGCAAGGGAAAACCAAGATAAGGTATAGTTTTTAACTTAGACTGCATTACTAGGAGATATCTGAAGTAAGGTACTTAAAATAAAAGAGGTTAGTTGTAGTCAGAGTTGGGGAGGTCCAGGGCATGACACCAGCATCATTCTGGCTCTGTTATGGATCGCACACAAATGGCAGAAATAGGAGCTTACAAAATAGAGAGCATATTGCTAGACATGAAGCCAGAGTGCAGTTCAGGGGTCAGGCTTGCTCTAGTGAGAACTAACTCAGGATCCCAGAGAAACACCCTAATCCCTTCTGAGCAGAGAGCCCCAATGATTTAAGGGCCTAACTTTAGGGGTTAATGCTAATGATTAGGCATTGTTTGCTCCCTCAAATATTTTGTTTGCTTTTTGTTATCTTTTTGAGATAGTATCTCTTGTAACTCAGGCTGGCCTTGAGGAGCTCATGATCCTCTTCCCTTAGCCTCCAATATGTTGCCATTACCACACACACCCAGCTACTATTTAATTTTAAGAAACTCTTAAAATACTGTCTTTAGGTTGTCAGTCTTTTTCTTCATATATCTAATTACAAAGACAAGCTTATTACTATCCTCACATTTGCATTTCAAATAAAGCTATTTTTCACTTGTATATGCTATCACACACTAATTATTAAACCATTACATTCAGCACCAATGATTATACATTACTTATGGTCTGTTCTTAGTGCTATGGGCATAAAGCTGTGAACAGCTGTGCAAACTTCTGGATTACTAAAATCAGAGTTGTTTCACAAACAAAAACTCTTATGATAGAAAAGATTGCCAAACGTGGTGGTGCATGGGTAATCCCAGCAGTAGAAAGGCAGAGGCAGGAGAATTGCCCCAAGTTTTGAGACCAGCGCAGGCTACAAGGTGAAAGAAGGGAGAGAAGGGAGAGATGGAAATGGAATGTAATTTTTATAATTATATCAGAAATATGTAACCTTGACTATCCCAAATGAGAGGCCAAGAACTCAGTGTTTTTTCATTTATTTTGTGGCTCTGTTTGTTTAATTTTCTTTTTGAGACAGGCTTTTCCTGTAGCCCCAGCTGACCTGGAACTCACTATGTAGACCAGACTGGCCTTGAATTCACAGATATCCACCTGCCTCTGCTGAGACTAAAGGTGTCTGTCACCACACCCGGCTTTCGTATTTAGGAAAATCCAAAGATACACATGGAAGCGTTCCACTTTGAAGATGTAAAGTGACTGGATTAAGGGGGCACACTGGGAACACCTGTACTCTTTTTGTTGTTGTTTGGAAAGTATTTATACCAGATACAAAGAGTACTGTTAATCAAAATGAGAGCACCTTAATTGTAAGTTTCTGTAGACCAGAAGCCTGACTCTACAACCCAGAAGAGGGCTGAGCCTCTGATGCTTCCTATTAACCCAAAGCCCTACATATTTCTCTAGGGGAAATGCTAAAATAAAATAATTGGTTGTTTCCCCCTGCATTCCAATTGTGCCAAATGAGAATGGCACTAATACAACTTTACCAGCATTTACAGAACACTTTTCATTCAAATTGGTTCACCAACCAACTTTTTTTGAAACAGGGTTTTGCTGTGTGGTCCAGACTGGTCTTCAGCAGGATCCTCCTGCCTCAGCTTTCTGTTTGTTCCTAGTGAGACAACACATCGTGCTCAATTAAGGATTCTGGATTGTTGTTGGGGGGGGCAGTTGAGGGTGTTCATTTGTTTGTGATACATGGGATTCAACCTAGGGCACTGGGTTTATAAGCACTTTTCCTATGAACCACATCTCCAGCCTTCCAATTAAGCTTTTGTTTTTATTTTATTTTTTAATTTTATGTGTATGCATGTATTGCCTGCGTGCAGGTAAGTGCACCCATGTTGTGCAATACCCGAGGAAGACAGAAGAGGGTATCAGATCCCCTGGAACTGGAGTTAAGGACAGTTGTTAGCTGCCATATGGGTGCTGGGATTCGAACCCAGGTCTGCTGCAACAACAACCAGTGTTCTTAACCACTGAGCCATCTCTCCAGCCCCTCAATTAAGCTTTTTTTAATTTAAAAAATTTAAAGAAATTTTTATTTTATGTTAAGCATCCTCTACACACACAACAAAAATAAAGTTTAGCATTTTCAAATTTTAATCCATTGCCAGCATTCCCTTTACATGATTTCCTCCAAAATGAACATCTGAGAACTGTATTAGTCTTAATCTTATTTCAAAACCCTCCAGGACAGGTGACTAAAGAGAGCTCAGCAGTCAAGAGTGCATGCTATTTTTGCAGTGGACCTGAGTTCAGTTTCTAGCACCCAGGTCAAGCAATGTAAAACTACCTGGAACTTGAGCTCTAGGAGGAGCCAATGCCTGTGACCTCCAGGGGCACCTGCACTCATATATGTGCACACACACAGGTATACACATATACACATAAGTAAAAATAAAATAAATCTGGGAGTGGAGAGATGGCTCAGCGGTTAAGAGCATTGGCTGCTCTTGCAGAGGATCCAGGTTTGATTCCCAGCACCCACATGGCAGCTAAGAGCCAACCAGAACTCCCATTCCAAGGGGATCCAACACCCTCTTCTGACCTCTGAGGGCATTGCACAACATGGGTGTACTTACATAGATGTAGACAGTACACATAAAATAAAAATAATAAATAATAAATTTTAAAAATTTAATCTGTATTTTAAAAAGAAGCTGTTAACATTAAGTATGAATGGGGAAGGCCATCAAGGATAAAGATAGAACAAAGGGTTTTCAGTATATTTTTTTTCTACATAGATTTCCTATTTCCTTGACATCTACAATATTTTCTTTTCTTATTAACCTTTAACTTTTTTTAAACTTTTAAAATATTTTATTATTTATTTTATTTTTTATGTGTGTATGAGTGTATTGCCTGTATGTGTGTAAGTGCACCCATGTTGTGCAATGCCTGTGGAGATCAGAAAAAGGTGCTGGATCCCCTGGAACTGGAATTATGAACAATTATTAGCCACCATGTGGATGCTGGAAATTGAATCCAGGTCCTCTGTAGGAGCAGCTAGTGCTCTTAACCACTGAGCCATCTCTCCAGCCACACAGGTCTAACTTTTTTTTTTTTGGTCTTTTTGAGACAGGGTATCCCTGTAGTCCTGGCTGGCCTGGAACTCACTATGTAAACCAGGCTGGCCTTGAGCTCACAAAGATCCACCTGCCTCTGCCTCCTGAGTGCTGGATTAAAGGAGTGCACCACCATGCCCAGCTGGTCAAAAATTTTTAACTTTTCTTTTTTCACTACTCTTTCGTGTTTGCCAAGATTTTTTGGAAATGAGTTTACACTATTTCTTATAGACCAAATTATGATAACCCTTTCTTAAATGTTAGATGCCATTCTTTATAAGTTATATGGGAGTGCTGTCTGCTACCACCCCCTTTATCACCTCCTATATGTAAGAACTTCCACATATATTATTTACCTCTTCCTCCTCAGTGTATAAATAACAAGAAGATTTGAGTATGTCAAATCTGACCCAGGTCCCGTTATTCCTGTAGGAACAGTTATTTTATGCACAAGAATCATACAAAGGGAGAAGAAACATGCGCCTACCCCATCTTTTGCAGTGTCTGTGTAGTGGCCACAGCTATGATGTGGTCTTATTTTCCATAGGAAGGTGCCTGACAGTATCTTATGATCATTTTTTCTGTTCCTTTTCTCTTTAAAGAATAAGTGCACAAAGACTCGCCCACCTAAATAAGTGCTTGATGAACTTTAAGCTGGGAAATTTCAGCTATCAGAAAAACCCTCTGAAATTGGGAGAGCTTCAAGGAAATCACTTCACAGTTGTTCTCAGGTAAAGAACTACAGGTAGGAGTATAGACCAAAGGGAAGCTAGCCAGGTCACCTTGAATCTGTTTTGATACTTGTTGATCAAGTACAGGCTAGCTGGCTCAGACGGGAGTGACAGCAGGGCAAAATGGGGCCTGGGGGACTAGGAGAGTAAGTACTTATATAGTGTTTCTACTGAAAGATAATCTTCATCCCTTCACCAAAAGTTTCCTTCAGAAACACACTGTCTTCTTCAGATGCTGTGTTAAAGGATAAAGTGCCCATGATTGCATTCAAGTTACCTAGAATGGGTGCATTCACAGAAATGGGCACAGGGTTATTAAATGGTGTACGTTTCAGTTTAGGATCGGGCATAATTGCCTGCAATTATAATACTCAAGAACAGGCCAGCCAGGGCTACAGTTTTTTAAAAAAGAAGAGTAGTTTCATTTTGGGAAGGTGAACAAGTTTGGGAAGTACATAGTTGTTGCACAACACTGCAGATGTACTTAATGTGAAATTTTACATTTTACAATGTAATGTATATAATCACATGAACAAACCAACAGAGCCCTCGGAAGATAGAGAAAGCTGTAAAGGAGAGGTGTAGGTGAGCCACAGTAGTGCTCATATCCTCAGATGTGTTTGACTGTACATTTTTTGGGTAATTTGGGCCCCTGCAGAAATATAACAGGAACTGATGAACAAGTACAACAAGCTATGAAATCGCTCAAGGAGATTGGATTTATTAACTACTATGGAATGCAACGATTTGGAACTACAGCTGTCCCTACATATCAAGTTGGAAGGTTTGTATTTGATTTTGTAATATTTATCTAAAACAGGATTCATAAAAGGTATTTTACTTGTTGGAAGGTTTGTTTAATTTTGTAACTTTTGTTACCTCTAAAGGAGGTCTCACTTAAAGAGAAGTAAGATTTTTGTTAGTGGTATTTTTAATTATTTCTGGATTCCTGCACGTTTAGGGCAAATGAACCTCTGGTCCATACCCTTTAAGTTGTATTTTATTTAATACATACAAGATTTTAAAAAAATCAAGGCTGGGAAGACAGCTCAGTCGGTTAAAGTGCTTGCTGCACTAGCATGCGGACCTAACTTCAGATGCCAGCGCCTATATGCAAGCCAGGTGTGGTGGTACATGTCTGTAAACCCCCAGTGTTGGGAACATGGAGCTAAGTGAACCCTGGATCTTGCTGGCCAACTAGACTAGTTCATCAGTGAGCTACAGGTTCAGTGAGAGACTGTCTCAAAAAATAAGGTAGTGTTAGGCATGGTATTCCATAGCTTTAAACCCGGACAGAAGTAGGCAGATAGAGCTCTGTGATTTCAAAGGCAGCCTGGTCTACCTAGGGAGTTCAAGGCTAGCCAAAGTGACATAGTGAAACACTGTCTCAAACACTCTCCAGAATGAATAAATCAATGAATGAGATTAAGAGCCACCGAGGAAGATACCCATTGTCGACCTCTGGCCCCCACAAGCACATGTACACCTGTGCCAACAGGTATACACACACACACACACACATATACATACATACATACATACATACATACATACATACATACATACAAATCCAAAGTTCAAAAAGATGTGACTAGGCTAGAGAGATAACTGTTCTTGCAGAAGACCCAGGTTCGAATCCCAGCACCCACATGGCAGCTAACAACTGTCTGTAACTCCAGTTCCAGGGAATCCGATAGCCTCTTCTGTCTTCTGTGGGCATTGCATGACACAAGTATACTTACCTACATGCAGGCAATATGCATATACACATAAAATAAAAATAATAAATAAAATATTAACCAAAAAAAAAAGATACGACCTAAATAGTAAGTTCTTTCCCACCCTTAATAGGGGTTCTATTTTACTTTTAAAAAAATTTTTATTTATTATTTTTATTTTCTGTGTATGAGTGTATTGCCTGCATATATGTGACTGCACCCATGTCATGCAATGCCGCAGAGGTCAGAAGAGGGCTTCAGATTCCCCTGGAACTGGAGTTAAAGACAGTTGTTAGCCTCCGTATGGGTACTGGGAATCGAACCTAGGTCCTCTGCAAGAACAGGCAGTGCTCTTAACTGTTGAGCCATCTCTCCAGCTCCCTATTTTACTTTTTAACCGGCAAGTCTTGGCTTAGTTACATGACCAACAGTAAACAACTGGGTAACCCACACCCAAGGTGATAACTCTGTTCTCTCTTAACAAGTGAGTCCTAGTTGATGGGTCTTTCATCTGCCCTCCCTTACCCTTTCAAGAAAATGCTAGAGGATATTAGTGGTGTGGAATTTAAAAACTTTTATTTGCATTTAAATAATAGAAAAGCAGTGGGATAAATTGGGATAGAAATCCCATCAATAAATACTTGGATTCAGAGACCTAATTTAGGAATCCTGCTGGCCAGCAGAGACTGTGTTACATAAAGTGACTATTCATGTGGTAGTTAGAATGGTGATAGTTAGAGCTTGAAGGTGATGTGAGAACTCTTGTTCTTACGTTTCAGGCTCTGTTAAACTTGGAGAGGTCTGTCCAAGTACAATTAGTCAATGACGGTTCTAGAAACAGAATTTTCTCCAGTTCAGTTTCTGAACATTAAGCTGTATTTGCTGTATGATTTTACAAGGACAAAGTGATAAATTTTCCATGAGTAGTTCCTCTGTCTCTTTGAGGCAGTGTTACAAAGGATCAAAGTGTAGGTGGTAAGATCAGACTTGAGTTCTGTGCTCAGATTGCTTTTCCATAAAATGGAGATAATTCAAATTTTATGAGGTGGTGGAAATAAAGTAAGATGGTATTTGTACAATACCTATTTCTATGCTTACAGTATAGTAAGTAATTAATAAATAGAAATGTTTTGAAATTAAGTCCAGATAGGTACAGTAACATAATCCTGTAGTCCAGGATAGCCACTTGGAAGACTGAGGCAGAAGGATTGTGAGAGGCCAGGCCAGCCTGGACAACATAGTGATCTATCTGCTAAATTAAAACAGTTTTAGGACTGGAATGTAGCTCATTAGATAGAGTATTTGCTTAGCATTACCAAAACCCTGGATTTGTTCCCAGTGTTGCATAAACCAGGCATGGTGGAGCACAGCCTATAATCCTAGCAGTCAAGAGGTAGAGACAGGGAAGATCAGAAGTTCAAGGCTACATAGCAAATTTGAGACCAGCCTGGGTTACATGAGACCCTGCTTCAGAAAAATCAGTTTAAAAAAGAAAAAAATAATAAAGTACTGTCAGATTTACTAGAAGCAGAAAATTGTATAGTATGCCCAAAGTCAGTACAAATTACTTCAGAATTCCATACAACTCATTTCTACAACATAAGAATATTTCCTACATTTAAAGAAACCTACTGGTATTATCATTGGATTTCCTAAGGGAAATGCCAAATCTCAATTTATAGGAAAGGAAATTGACTTGTATCCAAAATATATGAATAACACATATAAAGAACGCCTATACCCTATAACCAAAAGCCAAACCATACTTTTTTTTTAATATGCCACTATTTTTATTTAGAAATGAATTCTTGTGTTGAATTCTCAGTAGTAAAATAACAATATATGATAATGATCAACATTTATATGTAGAATTTACTCTTCCAAACAGGGATTTTCATTATTTTTCCTCATAACAATCCTATAAGATACTACAAATATCTACTTTTCTTTTCCAATTGCTGTGATGAAATATGATGACAAAAACTACTTAGGGGAGAGTTTATTTTAGCTTGTAGCTCCAAGTTACAATACATCATAGTGGGAAGTCATAACCACAGGATCTCCAGACAGCTACTCAGATTTTGTCTTAAGGCAGAAAAAGAGAGCAACGAATGCATGTGTTTTCTCAGCTCATTTTCTCATTATTACATAATGATATAAAGGAAAATGAAAGTAAGTCATGATAGTAAAGAAAATTATATGAAATCAGTTTCTTCTAACAATCTTGTCATTTTACTTGCTATGTTCAAATTTTCTTGGTCTCTCAAACTTTACTGTGTCTCAAATCTCTTTGTGAAAGGGGGACATTTGTGATATTGCTAATGGGCACCTTGACAAAATCTAGAAATCATTTTGGAAATGGGCCTCTATGCATGTATGTGAGGAATTATATTGATTACATTCATTGAAATGAGAATGTCCACCCACTGTGGGTGGCACCAATCCCTAGGCAGGGGATTCCAAACCATACTTTTCAAAATGTTTTTTCTGGGGCTGGAGAGATGGCTCAGTGGTTAAGAGCACTGACTGCTCTTGCAGAGGACCCAGGTTTGAGTCCCAGCACCCGTATGGCAGCTACGAACCATCCTTAACTCCAGTTCCAGCAGAATTTGAAGCCCTCTTCTGACCTCCATGGCATTACACCACATGGGTGCACTCACATACATGCAGGCAATACACTCATACACATAAGGTGGAAATAATAAATAAAATATTTTTTTAAAAAGGTTTTTTCTTCGCATATGTTAATTATACATAATAATGGACTTCATTATTTCATACTGGTACATATTCCATCATGTTCACTCACATTTGTCCCTGTTGCCCTCTCTTGGCCCCTCCCACTTCCAAATAACCCCCTGCCCCAACCAGTTCCCTTACTACTTTCATTGTGTGTGTGTGTGTGTGTGTGTGTGTGTGTGTGTGTGTATGTATTCTGGGAGTTTCATGAGACATGGGCACCTTACCACTCAGGAAAATGTCCCTTTCTCCAACATCAATCATGAAATACATATAAATCCTCAGGTTGAGATTGGGCCTTGTGAGTTCTACCCTGTTGCATGACAGTTCCAACAGACCCCATCTCATGGAGATTTTCTGCAGGTAATCACAGCTTCTGTGAGTGTAAAAGTGCAACAGTCACGAAATGTGCAGAAGTAAGCATTTCACATTGCGCTCTTCCACTACTTCCTCCAGCTCTTGTGTTCTTTCTACCCCTTCTTCAGAGATGATCCCTGAGTTTTGTAGGGAGAGTTCTAGATGTCCCATTTATGACTGGACATTCAATATAGGCATTGGTCAGAGAGACTTTTGTTTTTAAAAATCTTTATTTATTTTTTTTAATTTATGTGTATGAGTGTATTGCCTGCATGTATGTAAGTGCACCCATGTCATGCAATGCCTGCAGAGGTTAGAAGAGAGTGTCAGATCCCCTGGAACTGGAGTTACAGACAGTTGTTAGCTGCTATGTGGGTGCTGGGAATCAAGGCTGGGTCTCCTGCAAGAACAATCAGTGCTCTTAACTGCTGAGCCACCTCTCCAACCCCCAGAGAGACTTTTTTTCTTTTATTGAGATAGGGTCTCCCTGTAGCTTCTACTGGCCTGGCACTTGATATGTAGACCAGGGTGGCCTCTACCTCCCGAGTGCTGGGACTAAAGGTGTGTGACACACCACACCCAGCTTCAGAGATTTTTTTTTTTTGAGACAGGGTCTCCCTGTAGCCCCGGCTGACCTGGAACTCACTGTGTAGACCAGGCTGGCCTTGAACTCACAGAGATCCACCTGCCTCTGCCTCCCAAATGCTGGGAATAAAGGTGTGTGCCACCACACCCAACAGAGAGACATTTTTAAAAAGGCTTTTAATTATGTTTTTATGTGTGTGTATCTGTGTGTGGATTTGTACATGTGAGTATAGTGCCCACACAGACCAGAAGAGGGCAGCGGGGATTCCCTAGAGCTGACTGTCCTCAGACATGTGTGCTGTGAACCAAACTCAGGTCCTCTCCAAGAGCTCTTAACTACTGAAACATCTCTCAGAGAAGCTATTGCACTGGGCAATAGTGACAGAAATATATATCATCATTTTACTGCTTACTTTTAAATTTAATAAAATAATGTAAGAAGTATAATTTGTTGCCTTCTCAACAATTTGGGCATATAAAGTTCATCTTAATGCAATATTGAGTAAATACTGTTTAATTCTAGAGCTATTCTACAGAATTCCTGGACAGAAGTCATGGATTTAATACTGAAACCTCGTTCTGGAGGTGAGAATAAAATTTGTGTTAGGAAAATGCATAGAATGTATAGCTAGATATTTGTGGAATCACTTTGAATAAAAGTAACTGTGTAGGTTAGTGTAGTTATTTAAAATTTTATTTTTTATATTAATATTTATAATGTAGTTTTTGTTTTACAGTTTTATGTATAGGCCTGAAGTTTTTAAGTCTATATCCTGGTTTTAGTTCTTTAGTTATCTGATTCATCATACATGATTAAATGTACTTGAGAAGTAAATTCATTTCTCTTCATTTACTACTAAATCTCTTGAGTTTATAGGAATCCTATATGTATAGGTATGGCTGTTTTGTTAAAGCATGGTATAATGAAATACAAAATCTTGGCAAAACATTGAGGATTTTTAAAGAGTTGACTAAATTTTTTCCAGAAAGTATCTCTAAAACAACACTGAGTAAAAGGGATTTAACTAGTATTTTATAAATTGTCAAAATAATAACACTCAACACTCAGGACAGGTATGGTGTTGTACACCTTTAATCCCAGCACTCTGGAGGAGGAGGCAGGTGGACTTCTGTGAGTTTGAGGCCAGCCCAGTCTACATAGTGAGTATCAGGTCATCCAGGGCTACACAGGAAGACCCTGTCTCAAAAACTTAATAATAATAATAATACTCACTTTGGGAAGTATTCCTTTGCAAGCTAAAAAAATTTAGCTGGGCATGGTGGCGCACACCTTTAATCCCAGTACTGGGGAGGCAGATGCAGGCAAATCTCTGTGAGTTCAAGGCCAGCTGGGGCTACAGAGAGACCCTGTCTCAAAAAGACCCCCCCACCAAAAAAATTATCTAATTTTAAGGAAGTAGCCCATTAAATTTGACAATACAATGGAAAAAGAAAAGGGAAAAACTACTGCCAAGTTCTTACTCTTTGTTGAATTGATAATGAATTGTCAGCTCTCACTGTTACAGAGCCATTTAGTTCTGTGTCTAAGGCTCCCACAATCTCACTTTCTGGTGACTGTTAGGTTCTTTGTAACATTACAGATAAATGTTTCCCAATTTTGTATTCTCTTTGAAATGGGTTGTTGTAAGCATTTTTCTATTGGACAAATTGTTTGATCATAGCTTCTTTTCTCTGCCAGCTGAGAAGGGGTACTTGGTGAAATGCAGGGAAGAATGGGCCAAGACTAAAGACCCAGACGCTGCCCTCAGAAAACTACCGGTCAAAAGGGGTGTGGAAGGGCAGCTGCTTCGAGGACTTTCAAAATACGGGATGAAGAATATAGTCTCTGCATTTGGCATAGTGAGTGCAATTTGTGAAGTTAGGCAATGGCTTGAAGTGGTTTAATGCATTTAAAACTTCATCTTGGAAGATTTTGGAAGAACAGTAATAAGAATCCTTCAGTGATCTTCAAAAGAAATTTACCTGAGCGAACCTCGAGTTCTTGCCCTGAGTGGTGATGATGTGAGGAATGCTGGCAGTATTTATTAACTTTGAGGGCACAAGAAAAAATATCATTGTGGAAAATAAGACTGCCAGTTGAAGTTTAATGTAAATTAAATAGGATTTGAGAGAGTCAGAACCCATTGTACAGTCATTTCTTCTTAAATTTCATCACATTTTTATGTGTGTGTGTATGTGTACATGTACACAAGGGCATGTAAGTAAAGGTCAGGAGAGTCTATAGGAGTTGGCTCTCTCCCTCTACAGTTTGGGTCACCAGGGATTGAACTCAGCTCACCAGGCTTGGCAGCAAGCTCTTTCACTTGCCTACCCATCTTGCTGGCCCCATTGTAATATTGATTTATTTTTATTTTTTATGTTTATGTATGAGTGTTTTTCCCACATCTATGTAAGTGCAACATATTCATGCAGTGCTCGTGGAGGCTAGAAGAGGGCATCAGATTCCCTGGAACAGGAGGACAGTTGTTAGCTGTCATGTTGGTCCTGGAATCCAAACCTGGGTCCTCTGTAAGAGTAGCTAGTGCATTTAACTGCTGAGATATCTCTGCAATACCCATACAGTCATTTTTTGATCATTCTATCTAAATGATTGCATGTTTGTCTGTTTCCAAGAAAGGGTACCATACTGGCAAGTATAGTCCATTTGTACGTGTATAAGCTAGGACACTTTAAAGTTTAACCCTGAAGTTTGTGTCTTTTTCCCCAGATTTTTTTTTTTTAAAGAAAAGGAAAAACCTTGTTGCATAAAATCAGTTGTGTGTGGCTGACAGGGCCAGAGAGATGGCTCAGCTGTTAAGAGCACTGACTGCTCTTGCATAGGACCCGGATTCGATTCCCAGCCACCCACATGGCGGCTACAAACTGTCCTTAACTCCAGTTCCAGGGGAATCTGACACCCTCTTCTGACCTCTGTGGCATTGCATGACACAGGTGCCCTCACATACATGCAGGCAATACACTCATACACATAAAATAAAAATAAGTAAAATATTTTTTAAAAATCAGTTGTGGCTGAATGTGGAGGGAGGGGTATGTATGTGAATGCAGTGTCCACAAAGGCCAGAAGAGGGTATCAGGTCCCCGGAAGCTGGAATTAGAGGCAGTGTGAGACACCCCATATGGGTGCTAGGAACCAAATGCAGATCCTCTGCAAGAGCAAGCACTCATAACTTCTGAGGCATTTCTCTAGCCCCCTTTCAAATATTTTATCTATTATTTTCATTTTATGTGTATGAGAGTATTGTCTACATGTATGTAGGTGTACCTATGTTGTGCAGTGCCTGCAGAGGTCAGAAGACATTGTCAGTTTCCCCTAGAACTGGAGTTGTGGGTGGTTGTTAGCCCCCATGTGGGTGCTAGGAATTGAACTCTGGTCCTCTGCAAGAGTAGCCAATACTCTTAACTGCTGAGCCATGTCTGGAGCCCCTTTTTACAGTTTTTATACAATGGAAGATTTATTTATATCATAGTTTTTAAGTTTGGGACCTTTTTTTGCAGTAGTTGGAATGGAACCTAGGGCCTTGAGCGTGCTAAGTGCATGCTCAGCCACTGAGCCACATCCCCAACCCCATAGTCAGACATAGTACGTATGAGTTTCTTGTACCAAGACTACCACTAAATAAGCAAAGTATCTGGGGAAATACAGTACTTTTAATACCCAGAAACGTTTTCTTGTCTTTTTTTCTCTTTTCTCCAGATACCAAGAAATAATCGCTTAATGTATATTCATAGTTATCAAAGCTATGTGTGGAATAACATGGTGAGCAAAAGGATAGAAGACTATGGGCTGAAACCTGTCCCAGGGGACCTTGTTCTCAAAGGAGGTAAAATCACACATATTGCTGTTTAGCCAAATTGGGGTTTAGATGTTTGATACTAGTAGCTTTGAAACCTAGCATGGCTACTAGTTAAGAAAAGTGGTATGTAGTAAGTGGAGATGGGAAGATCACATGGTGCTCAGGCTGCTGGTTTGTATCATTAATGAAAAACTATACGCAAGTTTGGAGTAAGCAGCTAACTCTGGGCCTCCATTTCTCAAAGAGTAGAACAGAATAGGATTTGGGCCAATGTTGGCAGAAAGTCGTTTACCAACTTTAATCTGAGTCTTACAAATATGTATATTTCTGGATTTGTCCCAGCTTGTCATCAGGAAATTTCATAGTTTCTTCAGATTAGCACCAGGCTGGACCTATTTCTACCAATGGGACATGATAGAATGGCCCACACATTAATACAGCTGGGTGTGGTGGTACATGCCTTTAATCCTAGCAATCAGGAAGCAGAGGCAGAGGCAGGTAGATCCCTGTGAGATTGAGGCCAGCCTGGTCTACATAGTGAGTTCCAAGCTAGCTGGAGCTACAGGGAAACCCTGTATCAAAAAACCGAAAAAAAAAGACATTCCTAGAAAATGAAGATGCATCTTTAAAGTGTTTCAAATATACATCAAGAAGCCTGATAAGGTGGTGAATGCCTTTAATCCTAGCATAGGTAGAGGCAGGAGAATCAGCAATTTAAAGTGACTCAGCTACACAGTGACTTCAAAATCAGCTTGACCTACATAAGATCCTATCTAGTCCCCTCCCCCAAAAAAACAAATAACAGGGGGCTGGAGAGTTGGCTCAGCAGTTAAGAGCACTGACTGCTCTTGCAGAGGACCCGGATTTGATTCCCAACATCCACTTGGCGGCTACAAACCATCCTTAACTCCAGTTCCAGGGGAATCCAAAGCCCTCTTCTGACCTTCGTGGCATTGCACGACACAGGTGCACTCACATACATGCAGGCAGTACACTCATACACATAAAAATAAAATAATAAATAAATTACTTGTAAAAAGAAATAAACAGTAAATATGCCTTAAAAATCTAAATACAAAGTGCTAGAGAGATGACTCAGTAGGTATAGTGCCTCTTGTACAAGCAATGAGGACCTGAGTTTGGATCCCCAGCACCCATATAAAACTGGATGTGGCAGCACCCCAGCACTGTAGGAAGGTATCCAGAGACATGTGTATTCTAAGAACTCATTACCTGGCCAGTGTAGCCAAATCAAGAGAGACCCTGTTCCAGAAATAAGTGGAGTGATGGAGGAAAGCCCCCACCATGACCTCTGGTGTCCATATATACACATGCATATGTACACACATATAATGCACATACCCACACAAACATGTACATATACCACATACAAAATACAGAATTCTAAGTCCTAGGTCCTTTTTTTTTTTTTTTTGAGACATAGTCTCACTGTATACCCTTGGCTGGCCTGGAATTCTCTATGTAGAGACCAGGCTGGCCTTAAATTCAAAGAAATCTCCTTGCCTCTGCCTCCCAAGTGCTGAGATTAAAGGTTTATGCTACCACATCTGGCTAATCCTTGTTTTTTAAGGATTTATTTATTATTATGTTTATGTGTATGTGTGTGTGCCTGCATGAGTTTATGTGTACCACATGCATGCAGAGGCCAAAAAAGAACCTTGAACTTCTTTGTACTGGAATTATAGGCAGTTGTGAGCTACCATGTGAGTGCTAGTAATGAACCTTAGTCCTTTGCAAGAGCAGTAAGCACTACTAACCACTGAGTCATCTCTAAGCCCATAAATCCTTCATTTTTGTTTCTTAGGGGAAAAAAGACAAGAGAATATCCCACCTTAGTTTCTTTAAGCTTCCTAGGCCTCTGAATCTGTAATTATATACTTTCTTATACTCCCAGCTCACTTAAATGTATGTAATTTTAGGAGTGTGGGCTCATGAAAATATCGTTTTTCTTAACCTGATGTTTGTTTGTGGATTTGTAGCCACAGCCACCTATATTGAAGAAGATGATATTAATAATTACTCTATTCATGATGTGGTGATGCCTTTGCCCGGTTTTGATGTTATCTACCCAAAACATAAAAGTAAGTTCCATGTTTGGCAGAATAGTTAAAACAAGTGTAACATGATTAAGTTACCTGCAGCCAAGAGTAAAAAAGAGAAAAAAGATCATTAAGTATAATCTTAAAACTTTATTTCTGTCACATTTAAAGATATTTATATTTCAAAAATATATAAACCATAATTTTTTGTGAAAGTCTTCCAGAGATGGCAGAGGGAGGAAGGGGGAAGGGAAGGAAGAAAGGGAGGGAGTAGGGGAAGAAAGGAAGAAAAGAAGCAGCTCTGGCCAACTTACTGGAGCTGACCCTGGAAGATAGCCTAGCCAGGACTGGCCTGTTGTTGGTATTTTTCTGTTAAAATATCAAGATACCAAAATTCTTACCAATGTTATATGCCTAGAAATGTTATGAGTTATAAAATGATTAGGGGGCTGGAGAGATAACTTGGCAGTTAAGAACACTGGATGTTCTTGCAGAGGACTAGGTTGTCAGCACCCACATGGTGGCTCATAACTGTCCATAACTTCTGTTCCAGGGGATCCAGTGCCCTCTTCTGACCTTGGTGAACACTGCACAACATGGTTGCACTTACATACAGACAAAACACTCATACACATGAAATAAAAACAAATTTAAGAAAATGATTAGGATTAAAATCATTTTTGATAATACAAACACCTCTAGATGTCTTTAATAGAAATCTGTTATTTAAGTCAACCAAATTTGCTATGCTTCTGATATCTGTACTGGCTTACCTTTCTTTAATAGAAATCTGTTATTTATTTAAGTCAACCAAATTTGCTATGCTTCTGATATCTGTACTGGCTTACCTCACTCAGTGAAGGGAGTGGATTGGCACAAGAGGGAATGAGTAAGGTTGGTAGGGAGGACTGTAGTTTCTTGTCCTGGGCTGGAACCAAGGAGAGCAGTATCAGGACCCCAGAGAGAGGCCTGCAGGTCAGAGAGAGTTGAATGTAGATCTTTAAATGTCTGATAGAATTCTGCTGTAAATCCATCTGTCTAGTGGGAAGGAGCATACTTAAGATGCTAAAAGTCGGCAGTTACTACACAGCCGCCATGAAGCCCTGTGAACTCTACCCCTTTCCAAGGGATAACATTTGCTTTTTCTAATATTTTGGGCTTCTTTATCTTTTTCTGAATCTCTCCCTTTTTTTTTTTTTTTTTTTTTTTAGCTTTTTTTTTTTTTTTTGAATCTCTCCCTTTTTTTTTTTTTTTTTGCCATGCAGCTTCTTGTCTGTCCCATGGCTGACCTCCATGCCTAACTCAAATTGCATGGTTTTCTCTTTTCTGTCTCCCTGCTCTGGGCAGTTGCTAAGGTTTATAGCATATCTGCTTGGAGACAGAATAGATAGCATATATAAGCCATGTCTGTCAATCAGAGACTGAGGGCATAAGAGCCTAGGGCACTGCTGGGGCAAGTCCTGGAATCCATAGGCTGTTGAACCTGGAGTTCTGATGTCCAGAGGCAGGAGAGAAGTATTGTTCTATGTCTGGGAGAGAGAGAGATAACTGGCCTTTTGTTCCATCCAGGGCACGTCCATGTTAAGGACTAATCTTTCATACTAAATCCTCTGACTCACATGGCAGTCTCTTCCAGAAACACCATAACTGACACAACAGGGGTGAAATCAAAAGCAAAGTCACCTAGGTTTCCTTTTAAGTAGCAGTGGAACAGCCTCAGCTGAAACATTAAGAATAAATAATGTTTTAACAGCTGGGTTTCCATTAGTCTAACTGATATCCCAAATGGTTGGAAGAAAGCAAAAAGAACGTTTTTTCCCTTACACTTCTCAGTGTCTGGAACTTGGCTAGTAGCAATAAGAGAATAAAATGCCATTCATGAAACCCTGTAGTCATAGTGATGCACCCCCACTGGGTGACAGTTAAGATAGACCTGTAACGTGATTACACCCAGTATCCAACAGTGCTCAAAGGTGTGATGAAGCCATCTTCCCTTGTCCCTGCATCGTCCAGCATTTTTTATGAATAACTTGAATAAAGAAGTCCACTGATGATATTTCTAAATAGTGTCATATGTTTAAATAGTGTAAGATTAAAAAAATTAATATTAGCAAATGGAAAAAATAAAAACCACAGAAAGCATTCAGTGTGTACTCTCATAGGCTTGGAAGTCGAATGTTCAGGTGAAACCAGGAATGGTAACACATGACAGTGCCCTAGCACTGGGGAAGTTGAGACAGGAAGATTGCTGATTGAAGGCTCCTGGGCTACATAGCAAGGCCCTATCTCAAATAAACAAACAGAAGCACAGATGAAAAAGATTTACTTTGACAGTTGCCTACATATTAAGGCAAGAGCTGGGCATGGTGGCACACGCCTTCAATCCCAGCACTTGGGAGGCAGAGGCAGGTGGATCTTTGTGAGTTCAAGGCCAGCCTGGTCTACATAGTAAGTTTCAGGTCAGCTGGGGCTACAGGGAGACCATATCTTAAAAATATCCCCCCCCAAAAAAAAAATTAAGGCAAGATGACTCAGCAGTTACAGATACTTGCTGCCCAACAATGCAAGCCTAGAAACCTGAGTTCAGTCCCTGGAACCCACATAAAGTAGGAGAGTAGCAGTTCCACAGTGTTGTCCTCTGACCACCACATACTCTATGGCATAGTGCTCTCACACCGAAATCACACACAATAATAATGAAATAAATTTTAAATAAAAAGTATCTGGAACTGCTGTTGAAGCCTCTTACTGTAGGTCAGATGAAACCAGAACTGTCAAAGGAGAACCAGTTTGAAGAACCAAAGTCTAGTGAAGATCCATGCTTATGAATATTTGTGGATAGCTCATCTACCATGCTTCAAAGAAATCAACAGAACTTAAAGAGATCAGGTTTACATTTGGAATAGGAAGTACTTCCTAATAATTGGGCATCTCATGAAATAGTCCCCCACAAATGACATGTTAAAAAACTGTCTCCTTTGAGGTGCAAGGGTGAGCCCTGTGGTTTCTGTCATCTCTTACTTTCAAACATTTGTAACTGCCTCTTCCAGAGAGCATTTGCAGTCCCTGTATTGACTCTGATTATATAAGTTGTGTTTTAGAAACTTCATGTGAAATGGTCTTTTGTAGTTAGCTTGGAAACTTTATACTACAAATCATATGGCTGATTACAAATATAAAACTGCAGGTTGACCAAACTGAAGCTGGGGCACATTTTAGGCTTAGTAACTAAGTCACTATGGTTTGATTCCAGAGAACAGCCTCTGGATCATAGACTGGAGTTTTGTTGGGGCAGTTTAATAGTTCATGTTAAACTATTACTATTACTAGTATAGTTCAAGTTAACTTGCTGACAGGTAGCATTCCAATGAACTTTTTGTCTTTTGTATTAGTTAGTGAAGCCTACAGAGAAATGCTCACAGCAGACAATCTTGATATTGACAACATGAGACATAAAATTCGAGATTATTCCTTATCAGGGGCTTACCGAAAGATCATTATTCGGCCTCAGAATGTTAGCTGGTGAGTACTGAATGATAGAGCATTGAATTATTATGTAGATTTTGCTTTGTATGTTTTTCTGTGCTTAGAGCCTAGCATATAAGTGCTTCATAACTGTTACTGTTACTACTACTATCGTTACTACTGCTACCAGTGGGTAGTTCTTACATGATTAAGATAATTAGTGAGAGACCGGAGAGATGGCTCAGCAGTTAAGAATACTGGTTGCTCTTGCAGAGGACCTGAGTTTGGTTCCTAGTACCTACATATGGCAGCTAACAACCATCTGTAACTCCAGTTCTTTGGGATCTGATGCCTTAGGGCATTGCACCCATGGGTAGACTTACATGCAGGCAAAACACTCATACACGTAAAGTAAAAATAAATATTTTTTTAAAAGAAAGAAATTAGTGAGGCTGTATTGACTGCAATCATATAGTGAAAGTTATATCCCTAACTGAAAAATGTATAGAAAATGAACTTTTTTCAAAAGCCTTTTTCTATAAAACCACTGTTTCCAGAGCTCTCCGGAGCAAATTACACAGAATTGACTGTATGCTGACATTGATGTGGTTATTCTGAAACTGTTTCTAGGCTAAGTGTTTTAATTCATCTTAAGGTACTTTTGCTATATAGTATTATCTGAAGCTTTGATAGTTTCCACATGAAATCCTATAGTCGTTGCCCATTGCCAGCAAATTCCCTTTCCCTTTTCTCTTTCTTGTCTCCTTGTTTTCTAGTTGTGGGCACAAATTTGGCAGAGTTGGATTTCATCTTCCCTACTCTGGAGGAAATGTCATGGTTAATAAACTTCACCTGTACAAGGTGAAGCCTGCCATGCTAGGAAAATGTGGCCTGTAATTTCCATACTCTGGTATCACTTGTCATCTTACTGTATAGTAATATAAATCCATCCTGTTTCGTTACTGGGGAGGCTTACCAGTAGACCTGTATTTTGTCTTGCTTAACAAACTGGGTTGAGAATTTAGTGTCATTTGTGAAAGTTCATGTTCATACTTACTATTTATATATTGAAGGGAAGTCGTTGCATATGATGATCCTAAAATTCCACTTTTCAACACGGATGTGGACAACCTAGAAGGAAAACCACCACCAGTGTTTGCTTCTGGTAAGTACACTTAGTCTTCAGCCAATTTTGAAATGTAATGTTTTGAAGAAATGACTTTTAGTGTCACTACCCACCTACTCCAATTTCCATTTGTATTCTGTTACCTTAGTTTCATAATTTCTGCCTGAGGTAAGTAAAAATGCTTAGTCCTGGTGAAAATGAATGAATGTTCTAGGCAGTCATGACAGTAGTGGGTACTTCTTCCCTGTCTTCCCCCACAGAGGTACAGATGAGTGAAAATTTAGCATGGTAGTCTGAATTAAATTTGCATTCTCACTGTCACATTCTTTTTAAATTTTCTTTATTTTTATTTTTAATTTTGTGTGTATGTTTTGCTTGCATGTGTGTAAATAAACCCATGTGTGCAGTGCCCTCAGAGGCCAGAAGAGGCTGCTAGATCCCCTGGAACTGGAGTTACAGTTGTTAGCCGCCAGGTGGGTGCTGGGAACTGAATCCAGGTCCTCTGCAAGAGTAGCCAGTGCTCTTAACCACTGAGTCACCTCTCCAGCCCCTCAAATTCTTGTTATTCCTGTTTCTGTTTCACCCCTCATGTCCTGATGTTTTTGTTGTTTGGTCGTTTGGCTTGGTTGGTTGTTGTGAGACAGTTTTGCCATGTAGTCTAGCCCAGCCTCAAATTCACTATCCTCTTGCCTCAGCTTCTGATTACTAGAATTATAAGAATATCCCACCATACCCAGCTGTTTGTTGTAGTTTGGTCTCTTTGAGACAGGGTCTCCTTGTAGCCACAGCTAACCTGGAATTTGCTTTGAAGACCAGGCCGGCCTTGATCTCACAGAGATCCTCCTGCCTCAGTCTCCCAAGTACTGGGATTACAGGCATGTGCCACCGTTTTTGCTCAAGTTGGCTTTTGGCTTTCTTATTTATTTCATTTTGTTTGAGATAGGGTCTCACTCTGTAGATCAGGCCAGGCTAGCCTCAGACTTGTGATCTGTCTACCTCAACCTCCCAAGTGCTGGGATTACAGATCTGTACACCACACCTGGCTATCTTCTATACATTTCTGACTACAGACATTCACATTGCCTGTGTTTCCTGCTACTGCAGTGTCTTTCTCATAGATGGAGAATTCTGGGTGAGATGTGTGTCTTGATAGTTGCAATAAAACTTGAGCATGTTGTTCTATAGTCTGTTGTCTACTCCATTCCTCACTTCTGGGAGAGGGCCTTTTTTCATTTCTGCCCCCTACCTACCTGTCCTAGTTTGTTTCTCCATTGTTGTGACAAAACACTCTGACCACTACCAATTTGGGAAGGACAGGGTTTATTCAACTTACATCTCCCAGGTCACAGTTCATTAGGGAGCCCAAGGTAGGAACTCAGGGCAGGAACCTGGAGGCAGGAGCTGGAGCACAGGCCATAGAGGAATGCTGCTTACTGGCTTGCTCCCCTGGCCCCTGCTCAGCCTGCTTACTTATGCAACACAGGCCCACCTGCCCAGGGGTGGCACCACCCACAGTGGGCTGGGCCCTCCCACATCATTCAACAATCAAAAAGGTGCCCTATGGACATGGCCATAGGCCAGTCCAATGAAGGCAACTCCCCAATTGAGGCTCCCTCAACCCAGATGTGTCAAGCTGGACACTAAAACTGTCTAGCACACTACCCCATGTATTTCTTCTTTGGATCATCTGCCTTTAAAGAAAAAAAACCTTTTTAGTACATTTTTATTTGCATGTGGTGTGTGTGTGTGTGTGTGTGTGTGTGTGTGTGTGTGTGTACAGGTGCGTGTAGATCAGAGGGCAGCTTGTAGGAGTTGGTTTTCTCCTTCCATTGGGTCTCAGGGATCAAACTCAGGTCATCAGGCTTAGTGACAGCTGCCTTTACTTGATGATCCATCTCTCCAGACGCATTTTCCCTTCTTATGAAGGTTCCTGACCATCCATTCACCTGATTCACACACTCATGATCTCCTCTTTTGGTGGACTCATTCTTCGAGGCCCCTTGAGAAATGGAAACCTGAGGAAAGGGGATTGGTCTTGTGGGCCCTTCGGTGGCCTTTGGTCTGCCTACAGCCTCCTTCAGTTTTTGACCATTCTCTTCTTTCTTGCCTGGCAGAAGGCAAATACAGGGCTCTGAAAATGGACTTTTCTCTTCCTCCTTCCACCTATGCCACCATGGCCATTCGAGAAGTGCTGAAAATGGATACCAGCATCAAGAACCAGACCCAGCTGAATACAAATTGGCTCCGCTGAGGAGTATCTTATCCACAGAAGAGAAAATGCAGACAAGTGTTTGCTTACCAACCTCCTGTTCATTTTTTTAAGTATTGGCCATATTTGGATTTTGAATCTTTGTAGTAAAGGATTATTTGTATTTTTTTAAGTTTGTATCAGCTTAAAGAAATAATTTGCAATATTTATATACATGTACAAATCCTGAGGATCCTAATAATAGCTCAGAAGATATATGAACTGGTCAAAATATACTTTATGGACTGGAGAAATAGCTCAGTGGTTAAGAGCACTGGCTGCTCTTGTAGAAGACCCAGGTTTGAATCTCAGCACCCACATGGTGGCTAACAATTATGTTTAACTCCAGTTCCAGTGAACCTGACGCCCTCTTTTGGCCTCTGCAGGCACTGCATGACACGGGTGCACTTACATACATGCAGACAAAACACTCATACACATTAAATAAATAAATATACTTTAGGTGCTTATATCATTGTACAAATTCGGCTTTTTGACTTTATGATAAAGAAGGACTGTAACAATTGTAGATTTCACTGCATACCTCAAGAATAGGAGGTTTTAAAATATCCATGACTTTAAGAGCAACTGGAACAAAACAAATCCTGACTATGGAAAATTAGAGGATCTGCACTAAGAACATACAGAACCTATACTGGTTTAAATGACAAGACATCTGCAGGTTTATAAACACAAAAGTGATTATCATTTGCAGCTGTGTACCAGGTTCAGGTAAGCATTTGTGTACTTTTTAGTTTACAATGGCTTTTGCATTTATAGTATCAGTGTCTTTTAGGAGAGCCTATTTCTTGATATAAACATATGTAGTTGTTTTTATTGATTAAGGTCTAATTTTACTCTGGGTGCCTTTTATGTTCAGAACTATTTTTCCACTGGACTAGTATTTGCTAAAAAAGAAATAATGGCAGCGAAGAAAATTTTAAGTATTTTCAAGGGCTCCTTCGTTCTGTCAGCAACATTGACCTTTGTCACCAACTGCTTAAGCATTTCCATTTCTGGCATGGCATAAACATTTCTCTGGTGTGAAAGGGTAGATGTGTCTTTCCAAAGCTGTGTAACACATACCTGTACCAATTTTATTTTCTATTATTTCTAGAACCAAATGTAATAAATATTTTTAAGAACTCCTTTCTACTAATTATGTAAATAAGTCTAATAAATATGTAAAACTGAATGCAAGTAAAATTCTTGCCTCTGACTAAAGGAAAGCAAGGTACTAAATGGATAAAGGAGGGTTTGGAAACGGTGTTGACACAAAAGTGTCTTGATTGGGTGTGAGATTTGAGAATAGCATGAAATAGTGTCCAGTGGGGTAACTGGTGATGTGGACTGGACTGGAGCTTATCCTTCCACAACCTTGTTCCCTGGCCTCCTGATGTGCTTTCTAGAGTGGTAAGAAGTGTCTGGAGAAGAGATACGAAGTCAGACACAGAGTGGGCATGGTGTGTATCCTGGAAATGGTGTGAAACACAATTGAGAACCAACAGTAGCTCTTTCCTTTTAATAACTTGTACCACACTGCTAAGGCTATAAAAGAATTAGAAATATGATAACTAATCCTTTCAGTTTGCTAGTGTCTATAAAGATCCTTTCATACAAAAGTCAGATTTATAAAATGTATAGTGGTCTACCTGTACTTCTCAGTCATAGACTGTTCTTCATGAGAAGTTATTTATGAAAGTATATTCAGCAGTTCTTCATGTATAAATTTATATTTTGAACAAACATTCCTCATCTTACAAATACTTATGGCCCTGTGTAATGAGTTCATTTTCCTGATTGTATCAGCCAATTTTACCAATCTTTATGTCTTTTTTTCAAATTACATTTTATTTATTTGTGTGTGTATGTATGTGGAACACCTGTGGAGGTCAGAGGACAATTGCAGGAGTCAGTTTTCTCTTTCCATCATGTGAGGCCTAGGGATTGAACTCAGCTCATCAGGCTTAGTAACATGCACCTTTCTCCATTGAACCATCTCAGTGACCCCCTGTTTATGTCTCTTTTTAAACACCAATGGAAAGGTAATCTGAGGCAGATTCTTCAAGCCATTTTTGAGACTGAGGATAGATGTCAAACTATAGAGATTTAATGTGAAATAAGTCATCACCTTAGCATAGAAGTCAGGACATTTTCCTCGATGTTATCAATAGGAAAAGGATTCTCTGAAGCAAATTTACAAAACTGGAGCACTATTTTCTAATACAAATGTAAGGTAAATAAGTGGCTAGAGAGATGGCTTAGAGGTTAAGAACAGGACTGACTAGGTAGACTAATAAAAAACATGAAATGGGATGATAGGTCTCAATACCACCCTTGCCATCCCCTCCAGTTCGCCATCTTTCCTAGTCCTCCCCACACTTCCCATACATGGATCTGGGGGATGTTAAAAATGAAAACAAACAAACAACCTGAGTGTTTTTCTTCTTTGTATATGCACATACTGCCTGCATGTGTGTAAGTGCACCTGTGTCTTACAGTGCCCAAGAAGGACAGAAGAGAGCGTTGGATTCCCTGGAACTGGAGTTACAGACAGTTAGCTGCCATGTAGGTGCCGGGATTTGAGCCCGGGTCTTCTGCAAGAGCAACCAGTGCTCTTAACCTCTGAACCATCTCTCCAACCCATGAACGCAAAAGGCCACAAATGACTAAAAAATAAGAGTTTGCACAGTGTGGGTCCTTGGACAGGACTCATATTGACATCCACCCACCCAGGGCTCAGTGACCATTGCGGAAGAGGGAGCAGAAAGAGTTGTAAGAGCCAGGGAGGAGGTGCATGACCATAGGAAATGGTCATACAGACACCTGGGACCCTTATACAAACCTACAGCAATGGTGTCAGCAGGCACAAGACCCATGCAAACTTAGGCAATCAACCCCAGCGTAGAAGTGTGGAAATGAAGAGCAAGCCCCAATCTTAATCAAAGAATTATTGGCAACTGATTACTGCAGGGTGAGGAAGAGCTGATCTCGAAGGGAAAGACTCTAGATAGGCTGACTAAACCCCAGTGGATAAACTTGCACTGAGGGACATCTCAGGACACTAACTTTACATAATGGGCCTTAACACAAATGACAATGTATAAACTCCAGTGGGGAGGGGGGCTATGGGAGGGTGCCAAAGGGAAAGGGGAAAAGGGGGTATAAAGATGATTTTTATGTATGAAATGCACAAAAATTCAATTAAAAAAAATAACAAAAAGCCTGAGTAACTGTTAATGCTGGTGGATACAGTAATCTTCAGGGTCCTTTCTCTTTCATTCTGTGATTGTTCAAAGGCTGCTGCTACTTCATCTCTGTCTCCTGCGGGCACTTTTCCCTTAGGTCCTGGCCTGTGTCCTGACTTAAGGTTACTGTGAGGCTATGACTGTTCTATGGGTTCCTATATGTACTGGTAGGGCCCTGAGCTCCAAGACAGCTGCCCATAACCTTTCTCCATGTGGCCAGGTTTCCTGCCACCCTTGTCTCAGTGACCCCAACCACCTCCAGCTGAACTATGAAAGGGTCCAGGGATGTCTACCTCAGTGCCAGTTACTTAGTGTTGTATTAATGCACGAATATGTGCAGGTGTCCTGCTGAACTCTAGCCCTCCTCCCCTTCTGCCTTCTGCCCTGATCCCCAGTCTTGTCAAGGCCTCCAAAAGAGGGTATATGCAGGACCTGTGGCTGGGGTGGCCACCAGGGCTTCTCTGCTGCTGCCTCTAGGTACCTTGAAAAGATACCCACCACACACACCATTCTTTGGAATAAGGACTCCACTGTCTGTCTCCCACCCCCATGTATGCTGCACCGGGTTTCTTCTCTTCCCTCCTAAGAGCTGAGGGCCTCCCTGTCTCTAATGCAGTCAATGGCCAGGGGATTCAGGGTCCTGGGTTTGACCTCAGATCAGGTGCAGGACCATAGGGACCCTGTATCTGGTCAAACCCCAGTTTTTGGAGAAGCCCCAGGTCCTGACTCCTTTTGAACATTGGACATTTTCAGAAGGCTCTTCTCATGGGCATCAGGGGGGCAGCCCGAAAGCTTACAGTTCTCTCTAAAACCTCCAAGGTTTTTCAGAGGCCTGAGGATTCCCCAGAGGCATTCTTCAAACACTTATGGGAACTGTGTGTGTGTGTGTGTGGTCTTTTTGAAACAGGGTCTCCCTTGTAGCCCCAACTGGCCTAGAACTTGGTATGTAGACCAGGCTGTCCTCGAATTCAGAGACCCGCCTGCCTCTGCCTCCCAAGTGCTGGGACTAAAGGCGTACACCACCACACCTGGCTATGAGAAGATTTTTGAGCCTCTGGCCCCAGAGAACACCAGAGCACTAAATTTGGCCATTGTTACCCAGTCAAAATTCTCCCATATTATTTGGGGAAGCCCTTCAAAGGGACTTGACAAGCTTCAACACCTCTCATCCTGAATTAACACTACTTCAATATGTGGATGACCTGTTAGCTGCTGCTGACCCAGCCACCTGCCTGTAAGACATCCGAGACCTGCTCCAGCTGCTCCAGGCCCTGAGGTACTATCTCCATGAAGAAAGCTCAACTTGCCAGACAGGTCTCCTATTTCAGGCACAGCCCCCATGCATTAGAGACCCTCTGGGGAGCAAATAGCCAAATAGCTGATGGATGTGAAATACCCACATTACTCAGTACCAGACACTGCTCCTTGATCAGCTCCATCTCACCTTCAGCCTGGCAACACTGATTCCTGACGATAACTTGGAGGTGACCCACCCAGTTCTCTAGGACATCTCCCTTGCCTGAGGCAACTGACTTGTTCACAGATGGATGCAGTTTTGTAACAGTGGGGACTCAGAAAGCCAGAGCTGCTTTGACAACCCGATGGGATGTCACCTGGGCCCAAGTCTTGCCCCAGGACAGCTCCACACAAAAGGCTTAACTGATTACCCTCATCCAGGTTTGTACATTGGGAGAAAGGATAAACTGGTGAACATCTTCACAGACAACAAGATAAGCCATTGCCACCCTTTCATGTCCATGCCATGATCTGTAATGAAAGAGGACTCTGACACTCCCTTGGCAGAAGACCCTATTGAGCCACACCCATTCCCAAGAAACCAAAAATGGTCCTGTGGGATAATGGACCCCCCTAGACTTCAGAATCATTCTTTCTTCAGCCCTTGGATGCCTCTTTATAGACCAGCTTCACCTAGGTGCCACCAAACTGAGCTCCTTCTAGATACCAGATTTCACAGCTTCAAGATCTGGCTTCCCAGGTGGCTTCTCAATGTCTCTCTTGTACTCAAATCAACTATAAACAAGGACTCAAGAACACACAGGCCATCCAACTAAGAGGACTAAACCCTAGAGAAAAATGGGAAATGGACTTCACCAAAATTAAGCACCATCATGCTGGGTATGGGTATCTGCTGTTGTTTGTGAACACTTTCTCTGGATGGGTGGAGGCCTTTACTACAAAAATGAAGATCATCCTCACAGTGATAAACTAGGTTTGGGTTGCTTCTGTCAATTGGCTCAGCTAATGGACTGTCCATACCCCAAATGGTCAGTAAGGCATTTATTGTACCTACCAGTCCTAAAACTCTGGACAGGTTGAATGCATAATTTGGATTGTTATATCTGCCTTTTCTAAATTAATCATCCTCCCACCCCTGGTTCTCCTCCAGGTTAGATGTACTCTCTGTAAGATAGGTTTCACCCCATGTAAGATTATGTTCAGAAGGCCACCTCCCCATTCTGAAAAATTACTAATCAGCCTTTCTTAAAGTATCTCACCAACAGCTCCAGGATATAGTCCATTCTAATGTCTGAGACATCCTCCAGGCTCTCTCCTCTACACCCTGCCACCCATTCTATCCCAGAGATCTGATGTACATCAAAAAGTTCCAAAAGGAGAGAGAGGCCAACAGATCT